AACTTTCATGTTGAGGGTTGAAACGTAGGTTACAATGATTAATTAATCTAGATCCAGGTCACATGAATTAACTACTCTATGTTGAATTGCTGGTTTGTATGAAATCAATAATGTAAACACAAGGAATTGATGGTGGAGAAAACCCTTAAATGTGTAAAAAAATTTCGGAACGAAGCCAGTAGTATCCATTATAGATAATATGAACTTACAGTGAGATCCAGTCTAGAATTCCCATTAGACTCTCTGATCTAATTCTTGTAATTTCCAAGACCCGCTTAACAGTTGCTCGAGAATTAGGATGGATTTTAGTATATTTAGTTTCCATATCTAAAGTTTATTTTAGGAAACAAATATACTAAAAACAATTAACGATACAGAGTATGATGTTACACAATTCCAAGAAGGTGGAAGGTAACAAATTTGAAATATTGCCAAATTGAAAAGGTCATTCTCATTGTGTTTTGTATGCAGGTGTTTGGACTACATATGGAACACACTGTGAGGAAAAGTATTTTCAAGATTTCCTGTATTTGAATCCGTGCAGATTTGAAGAACCAGTTCAACCTTATGCTTTTCTACGATTCGATGGAGGAATTGTGTACAAGATACCAACTAAGAGCCTGTTAGGTACATATTCTCATTTTTTACAGTAAATCAATTCTCATTTTCTACCACACATTCTTCAATAAAATAATATTTTTCATCCCATCAATATTTTTTTCTTCTTTTTCAACCACACATTTCTCATCATATCACTATTCAAAAATCAATTCTTCCCCCAAAAATCCCTACCAAACACACTCTAAGTTAAATATTCTTGTATTCATACATTACGTAGTAACTCGATACAATTGAACTTTAGTAAGTCCTGGGGAGCCAATTACGTAGATCCACTTCCATTTACTGATTTACCAGTTCAACCTTGTGCCTTTTTTTTTTTGCTGATTTACTATCCTTGGCTTGGGAAACATTGTTTTTCATTTTATTCTTCAATTTCCTCCCAACAAAATTGACACGAGATTTCTTATATAAGAACCTAGATTACTGACATTGATAGATACATGATTCTTTTGTCAGCCCATGTTTGGTGTATATTAAAATCAGATTTTTAATAAATTTTAATGAAAGTTTATGAAAACTATAGTTGAAAAGTTATGAATTTCATAAAATGTATGGTTAAGTTAATTATTGACTTTGATTTCAAATAAAAATCAAATTTTAATCTCCAATCTTAGTGAGACCGCGAAGATAAACTTTGGTCCAAAGCAACTTAAATTTTTATTGAACAACAGTGTCATATACATTTTTCTCCATCAAAGACAAGTAGTACTAACGAAAAAATTTCTGCGTTGGGAATGCTTTGGCTTTGCAGATGGGACAAAAAAAAAATCGAGACAGATACTTCTTTATGCAAATATTCGTGTCCACACACAAGACTT